CCACAGCTGGTCCGCTGCGGTGCCGCCACAGTGGCAAACCGGACCGACACACACGCAAACAAACAATGACAAAGAAAAGAAAGCGCCAGATTGTGCTTTGAAATCGTGGCGTGGCGCAAACTCTGTTCCATCGGCTTTGCCGGCCCATCGTCGGCGCACAACAACAAAGAGGTGAGCGCGTAGAGTTTGGCGCGCTCAGTAGGTGGGGCCGAGTATCGTAAAGGGTACGACGTTGCGCGGCTCGCAAGACACGGTGCCCGGCCTCTCGGCGTACCGAACCAGCCCGGAACTGTCGACCGCGTTGAGCCACTCGTAGACGGTATCGACGGCGGGACACTCGTGCTGGTCCTCGGGCGTGCAGAAGCCGTGCGCTTGCTTGAGAAGCGCCAACTGCGCGGGCGTGATGTACTCTAGCGGTACGTAGTGGATGGCCGAGCTCGCGTGGTCCAGCTCAAAGCAGGTGATCTGCGCGTAGAGCCTGTGGGACGCATACGGGTCGGCGGGCACCAGCGGGTTGTACCGATGCAGCAGATCGCACCCGACGATCCATCCTTCAAACACGGCGGTCGGTTCGCCACAGTGCTGCGGGTAGCGCCATTGGGGGTCCTTGCTGCGCCACGGACCATCATCGAGCCTGGCCTTGGTCCCACGCTCGGTCAGGGCCGAGAGGACCGCCGACACGAACCGCGCGTCTCGCTCGGCATCGTAACGACACTCGCCATCATCGGGGCCGAGATCCAAAGGCGCGCCAGATAGCGCGAGCTGCGCGGCGGTCAGGTAGTTGGCAAAGGCGCGTAGGAGCACGCCGACGGGCACGCCCAGGTCGTGCTCGTTCTCCTCTCTGTCATAAGCGCTGACCGTGCATTGGCGGATGAACTGGCCCACGGCTTGTTTGAGCGTGATGGTCTGGCGGTCGGCGTCGATCGGTTCCTCGTCGGGGCGCGCGCGGAGGCGCTTGTTGGGCCGGCCCGAGACCAAAGCGCGACTGTCGGTCGTGGTGCGTCGACCGGTCGCGGCAGGGTGCGCGGGCGGGGCAGCGGAAGCAACGGTAGCGGCAGGCAATTCGGCGTCGGGTTCAACCGACGGCAATCGGCGCAAGAGAGCTGTGTTCCATTGTGCGCAAGCGTGAGATAGAGAGATAGATAGACAGACAGGCAGACAGAGCAGGCTGCTGGAGTCGAGTAGAAAATGAATGACCTGGCTGCCCGGCGCACGGCTAATAGAGCTGCTGCTTCTACGATATAATTATATTTTTTTATCAAAGCGGCCGTGTGGTGTGTTGTGCCACATCGCGCCGGCCCTGCTGCATTGTTGCGAGATCCTGGGCTTTGGTCCCTCTTTGTTGTTGCCATCGCCGTAGGATGCACATTGGGGCGCGACAACAACGCGGGGGAAATAAAAGGGGCAGAAGAACAGACGGCGATCAAGATGCGGCCGGAACGACATGCAGGCTCAGCAGTCTGTCCAGCCCGTCACGGACGGCCTCGGGGCTCACCGTGTAGCCCATGGCCAGGCGCATCCACGAGCCTCGGCCGTCGCCATCAACCTTGGGCATGCCATGGTGGTCGGCAGATCCGGCGGCGATGTGCGGATCAAAGAGCGGTACGGCCTTGCCGTAACTCGTTGCGTAACAGATGACGCGGCTCGAATTTGCCATGCGCGCGGCCGCGGCCGCATCCAGGCACGTGAAAGTGGAGCACGGTCGGTCCAAGGAGCGCGCCGTCGGGGCGCTTGTCGCGGGCCAACAGGCGTGCGGCCATGCCGGCGTGGTCTTTTGACATGCATATCCAAATCTTCAAAACTGCCCTATAAATCAAAAATGTAAAATCTCACATGATTTTAGCACAACAAAAATTCCATGGTCATTTGTGACCTCTCATTTCAAATGACCACAAGTTCCAGGATTAGTGCCCCCAGAGACATGGCAGGCTCCCCTCACTGGGGGGGAGCACCCACCTTTACCTCGCACTTCACCAAGCATACCTGTTGTGGGATTGCTTCACCTGCACTGGGAGGGGGCCTTGCTGACCCTTCTGCACTGGATCCATCTTGGTGTCAAGCTGCCAATCTCACAACTCCCAGCTCTCCACTCTGCATGGAACCATCACCTGACCAAGTGTCAGGTGATGTTTGTGGATGGTGAGATCTGTTGCCTCCTTGCAGAGAGGCCCTGCAAGAGCTTCTCCCTCACAAACAGGCAGTCCTTTCTCCTATCAGTGTCATGCCAAAGAAGAACAGCAAGTCACACCTGATCATTAACATGTGTCTCCTGAACCACTACATTCACCCACAAAGTTCAAGTACCAGTTGCTTTGTGACCTGGTGAACCTTCTCCAGCCAGGCAACTTCCTGTTCACCATCAACTTCAAGGATGGCTTCCACCATGGTGGAGGTCCATCCAGATCACCAACACCTCCTTGGCTTCTGCTGGTGGAATTGCCAATACATCTTCTGTGCCTTCCCATTTGGCCTGAATGTGTTGCTGTGGCCTGGTTTGTGTGTGTGATGATGTTGGCCCTCATGGTGAAGGGTGTCTGGTGCATGGCATATATGGACAACCTGATCATCATGGCGCCCAGCCAGACCAACACACTTCACCAACACACAACAGTGCTCAAGACCATCTCCAGCCTTTCTTGGCACATAAACTGGAACCAAGCCAGTCCAAGGAGTTCCTGGGTCTCACTGTCAACACCTTGGCCAAGCCTCACTTCCAGGTGGCAGGCCACTGCTGCTCCCTGACATGCACAATACTCCCAACCCAGCTCCTGCTACACAACCTGTACCATAACATCAAACACCAGCAGGACTGGAACAGCATGATTCAACTGTCACCAGCAGCCATCAACAACCTGCACAAGTGGAGGACAGGTCTCTCAAAGTGGGACATCCACATGGCAACAACACAACCCTTCAACATGGTGCTTGACACTGACACCTCCCTGACTAGGTGGGGCACAGCCCTGAAGGTCTCAAGCACTATTTCCACAGGCTGGTGGTGAGGAACACCTCTTCACATCAACAAACTGGAGCTCAAAGCAGTGCTTCATCACACTACAAGCCCTCCAACCCCACCTCACATCAAAGTCAATCCTGCTTCAATGCAACAACATCACTGCAATCACATACATCAATAAGCTTGGTGGGAGAAATCTCACAATGAACAAGATGACATGGAAAATTCTCACCTGGTGCAAGTGGCAGACATGCCACTGACTGCTTGCCACCTGCTGGGACTTGACAACAACTGGGCCAACTGGAGCTTGAGGGTGACACAGACAGCATGATTGATGGTGTAATGGAGGCTGTGGGAGACACTGAAG